CTCGGCTGGGGCCCATAGCACTTCAGTGTCTCAGAGAACCCTCCCCAGCAGGAGCCTCCTTCTTCCAAGCCTGGCTGGTCATTTTTAGCTTTATTCTTGTCTTCTTGGGCAGGGCCTTTATTGGGCCTCCTTAGGATCACAGGGCTGTGAGATCCCCCATGTGCCTGCACTAGGCCCCTCTGGCAGACACCCTGGCCCTTCGGGGTGCCTGAGACTCTGACACCGGGTCTCTTGACCATGCTGTAGGGGTTGTAATCCTTGGGACCCTGGCCTGCCACTGGGTCAGTTTCACCAAGAAGTGCGCTGTCCCACGTGGTCCTGTTATCTGGACTCCAAGCCCACTGCTTCTGCCTCAAGACTGCCAGGGCTTCTGAGTCGACCCGCCTCGCCTCGGCATCCTGGTACCTGCACGGTTTGTGAAGGTGGTACTCTGACCTGCTCATCTCGGCTGAGGGCCTGCCCTAGGACACGCAGCAAGAGTAACGGAGCCCTGATCAGAACGGGGGATCGCCGGCTTACAGCTTTTCTTTTCCTTTGCTCTTCTGCCTTACCCCACTGGTATAGTGGGGATGATTCTTCCACTCCCGATGTGAGTGTGCGTGTGTGTGTGTGTGTGTGTGTGTGCGTGTGTGTGCGTGCTTGCGTGTGTCTGTGTGTGCACGTGTGTGTCTGTGTGTGCACGTGTGTGTCTATGTGTGTGCATGTGCCATGCGTGCGTGTGTGTGTGTGTGTCTGTGTGTGTGTGTGCGCGCGTGTGTGTCTGTGTGTGTGCGTGTGTCTGTGTGTGTCTGTGTGCGTCTGTATGCGTGTGTGTATGTGTGTGTGTCTGTGTGCGTGTGTCTGTGTGCATGTGTGCGCGTGTGTGTGCCTGTGTGTGTCTTGTGTGTGTGCATCTGTGTGTGTGTGTGTGTGTGTGTGTGTGTGTGTGTAGGGGTTGGTGGTAGGGAAGGATAAAGCTAAGAAACAACCAGAAGGAATTCTATGGGACTTGGGGAATCTCATCAGTTGTGGGTATATAACAGGTTTTTCTTTTTTTGAGGATTCAACGTCCCTTCCCTGTGGCAGGAGCAGTTGTAGCCTTACTGGATCCAGTGGGTATGTCCTGCAGGGTCGTCTGGCAGCGTGGTGCGTACTGACTTCTGGACTGTGTAGGCTAGCAGAGGAACAGTGCCCAGGCCACCGAAGAACTTTATCTTTCTCTTAGACTGCCCCCGCCCCCAAATCCCAAGGTCTCAGAAGGCAGCTGTCTCGACTGTCACTTTGCGTGTCCTGAAGCTTCTAGATCCAGCGTCCAACTTCCTTACTCTTAGAAGTCCCATTTTTTTCTCCCTGAGGCCTTTTATATAAACAGGTGCTATAGCGGCCCCACCCTGGGCCTCAGTTCCCTCACATGCCCTGTGTGGGGAGCCACATTGCTTGTAGACCTTCGGTTCAAAACCTCCGTCTGCTCAGGGCCTCTTCCTGCTGCCGGAGGCTCCCTAGGTTCACCTTGTGATCCGGTAGGGGGACGAGGCCGTGGGTGGGACTGACTCTGCGTGCTGCTTTGATGGGTCAATGCTTCCAGAGCAAGGCTTGGTGGGATGGTGGGGTGAGAGAATATTGGGGTCACTGTGGTCCCCACTGTGTCTCTATGTTCCCCTTCCCTCACACTTTGGGGTCACACCTGGGAGGCAGATAGATTGTCAGCCTGGGTTTTCTTGGGTCTTGAATGAACCTGGGCCTAGGAGCAGGTGATGGGGGGCTGGGCTAGGCTCTGGGAGTTACAAAGGACCTGTCTTCTCTGGGGGTACAGGGGTGGGTGCTGGGGCTTAGAGCAAATCCGAAGAGGGGTAAGAGTGGCTCAGTTGCAATGGGGACTCTTACAGGAAGTGGGGGGATTCACGGAGAATCCTGCTCTCCCCTGGCACTCTGGGATGCCTCCTAGGGATGCTGAGTGGAGGGGGCCGGGTGATTGAACCAGGCTGAGATCACAGAAGAACTGGCCAAAGGAAAAGGGTCTTGTGCTCAGAATGGACTCTACCTCCTACACTTAACTGGTGTGTGAGTCTCCGAAGCTAGGGGTGGGGACAGAACCTCCCTCTAGAGAAGACCCTTCTTAGGGGAGCGTCTCTGGTCAGCACCATGGATCCCTACACCACCCTCACCCAAGAGGTCTGGTGGGTGGAGCTGAGGCAGTGCTGTGCTAGAGCAGGTAAGAGGGCAGCTGCTGACCAGGGGGTGGGAGGTTGTTGGCTGGCTCCTGTGCTGCTCATGTGGGCCCTTCTGCCTGCCCACAAGCTGTGCTGGGTGGGACGTCCCACTTCTGCAGGGGGCCATAGTACACAGGGGTACCATCTGGGGACTGATGGGGTGTCCCAGGAACCTTGGCCCTGGCCTTTCACTTCCACTCTGATGGGCTGGGAGGGCACAGCAGATCCAAAGTTAGGAGTCAGTGACCTCCTGCAGGGAGGTGTCACTCCTCCCCAGGCGCCTCTGCGGCCAGCCCAGCCGTGTAGAGCCAGGGAGGGCCTTGCCAGCAGCCCTCCTCTCATGGGGGGCTTGCTGTGCTCTGAGAGGGCAGGGCTGGGGCAGGCAGGACTCAGAAGAGGTGGAGCTGGATGCAGAGGGGTGGGGCTTGGAAGGGGCTGGGTCTGGGAGGCAGTGGAGCTGAATTCAGGAAGACCCTGAAGAGACCTTGGGCTCAAACAAGCCAGGCAGGCGTGCAGGAGGCTGGGTACAGGAGGGAGGTAGAACCAGCTACACCCATCCAGGCTTTCTTGGCTTCCTTGAGCACCTGGCCGGGCCTTGGCCCTTGGCGTGGCTTAGGCATCGCATCTCCATCAGCCCTTCCTTTGAAGGGCACTTTGATGCACAGGCCAGGGGCAGGTAACAGGTGAAGGAGCACAGCCTGGCTTGCTGGGGTCTCTCCTCTCTGTATGCTGGCTGGAAGGTAGAAGTACAGGTTTGGGCAGGGCCACGCCCAGTGCTCACAGCTCAGCACCACTCAGCTGGGACGGGATCATGGGCAGAGGCAGAGGGTGTCTCAGAAAGCAGAAACCCTGCCCAGTCCTCCAACCAATGCTCCTGGCACCCACTGGACACCAGGATCTTGATAAGGGGACAAAGGCCTGGCTCGAGGGACAAATACTCATGGATATTGTCAGCCTGGCCGCCAGGCAGCCAAGGCGAGTCCCACAAAGGGCTGGAAGAAAGGGTGGCGGGAGGGGCCGAGAATGGGCCTTCGCTGCACATGCCACTGTTACCCAGGCGACGGCCCTCTCATGGAGAGGTCTGCCGGGCCATTGTCCGGGGCCCGCAGGACGTGTCACACACCAGATGGTCGTGTGCTGTCTAGGTCACTTATCAGAGGACAGAGTGAAGGAATGTGCCCAGCCCGGCAGGCTGGGGTACCATCTGTTCCCTCAGACCATGGGCACCAGGCGGGCACTGAGCGCTCGGGCTGCCAGGCCCAGCCTTCTCCCGGCTTTAATTAGGTAATTCCATAATTGGGCTTTATTTCAGGTAAATTGCATTTCACACCCGAGAGGGTTACAATGGCCTTTCCGGGAGAGGAGAGTTTGGCCACTCTGCACCATCTATAATACAGTATGGAGGCCACTGGGTTCCGGCCTGTGCCCTGCCCAGATGGGCTTCCCTGAGCTCCCAGTGGGCCATGGCTGGCCTGGGCAATGCTGATAGCCCTGGCTACAGCCAGCTACAGCCCAGGGCTTCCACAAATATTTACCCAACAGGGAAACAACAACTTCTACCTTCCAGTAATTGTTGTTGCAGACCCTCCCCCTCCTGGGGATGGGTGAGGCTGGGAAGCCGAGGTCTCAGCTGTCCTTCCCCACTTCCCCACCAGGGCTGGCCAGTGCTTATCAGACCAGACACCAAGATCTCGTGTTGGGAGCCCCTAGGGCCTTCAGACTCCCAAGGGGCCCAGCACAAGAGAGACCTGGGGGCTTTCCTCTTCCACAAGGGCCTCCAGCTGCTGCCCCATACCTGGATTCCATCCCTACTGCTGGCTATGCATGGCCTCCCCTGACCTGGACAACTCTGTCCTTCAAATCTCAAATGTCCCCAGTCCTCACGGGCTGGGATATGGGGTGGGCTTTAGGAGGACAGAAGGAGGACACCACATGGACACCGAGTGTATCTCCGTGCACTGTTTCATTCACAGGATTGAGGACGGACTACAAAGAGTGGTGGGCACAGGGCCAGGTGGGCAGCCTGGTGCCTACTTGACCCAAGTCTCCAGCCTAGAGGACTGTTTGGACAGACAGATAAGCACCATGGTGCCTATAGGGAGAGGGAAGCCTTGAGGGGGGAGCCCAGGAACCCTGGCCTCCCTGTGCCTAGCTCAGGAGTCAAATCCTTGGGGTCTTGTGAGGTGTCCCTGGAAAGGCTCTACTCTCTAATGGTCTCCTGGGTCCCCAGTAGGGGTCAGTCTAGCTGGGAAGGATAGATAAAAGGCCCCGGCATGTCTCCGAGGGTAACTTCCTGGGGGTCCATCAGTGTGGCACAGCTTGGCAGGCTCACCTGCCCCCCAAGGCTCAGGGTCTACTGGGAATCAGGCAGTAAACACATCCTGATCACCATGTAGACAGTGACACTGGGAGTGGAGGCCTCAGGGCTGCCCTCAGCCCAGACTGGGAGGATGTAGAGCTGGGCCCAACCTCTGACATGCCATGTGGTCTCTGTGAGCCCATGGAGCCTGGGCCTTCTTGGCATGGATAGACAGGGCTTGCTCAGCGGCCCCTGGGCATCTGCCTCCCAGGGGAGTTGTAGGGTCTAACTGGCTAGGAAATTGAGGACTAGCTGTTCATGGGGGAACAGCTGGAGACAGGGAGGCAGGGGGTAGGGGTGGGGGTGGTAGTGTGGATGCTAAGCACCAGGTCTTTCTTCCTGACCCCCTGCCCCCCGCGCCCCCACTCCTGAAATCAAGGCAAGAGCTGTGTGAAGATCAACCTGGGATGCCCCAAGTTTATTAGGAAAAGCCTCTCGATCAAAATCACACGGTGAAAGTCATTAAAACACAGATTCTGAATCACCACAAATCATCCTGATTTCTGTAAGGTGTGATGCCCAAGGAACCATTCCCGGGAAAAATGGTTGTGCCCCTTAATCCCCTTGTGGCTCAGCCACTGGCTAAGGGATGTGATGGGATAAAGCTGTCCAGCGGCTCCAACCACTGAGTGGGAAATGAGCTGCACGCAGAGGGCGAGGGCCTGCTCACCACTGGGGGAGAAGGTGCCGGTCCACAGGTGGCTGCAGGGGCAGTGGACAGTCCCCTGCTTGGGATGTGCTCTTGGGGACCCCTTTGGTATCCTGCCCATGTGGTATTTTGAGGAGTCAAGCCCCGGCCTGCTGAACCCCCACCAGCCTATACTCTGCAGTTGGGGTGGGGTGGGCACCTGCCCACCTCAGCTGACTTGCCCTCTCAGCTTCCTGCTGGGTCCTGGATTTGAGGTCGGGGATGCCAAACTCTGCCAGGCTGTTCCTCTATTTCCCCTCAGGAAGTCACTTGGCACCACCTGGGCCTCTCTTGGCCTGGGTTGCATCCTGACCCCATATGGGATGGTCCCTACCCCTGTGTCCTAGCCACCATGCCAGCACATCACCGTATTAATGGAGGTGACAATTCTGGCCTGAGAGGGACCCCATTACCCAGCCAAGTTCTAGTACCCATTGACTGGGAAGAGGGGTTTTTGTGAGCTCTGAACTCAGGCTGGCAATGTGACCCAGAGGTGCCAGAGCCTTGGGGAGCTAGGCTGTCATCTCAGGCCTTCAAGGAGGTAGCCAGGACCTGGTGGGTACCCCTGTGAGAGGGAGTTGGGGTAGACCTGCTGGGGCTACCCTGGGCCTCCCCTCCTGGGCTCCCTCAGGAGGCCTCATCAGGGCCCCTCCGGGGGACGGTGAGCTGTTCGTAGGTGGGCAGGGTGTTGCTGGGCAGGAATAGCTCAGGATTGATGGCGTCGCCTTCGCCACCGGACTGGACTACTTGGTGCCTGCTGCCACAGGCGGGGCTGCTCTGGTACAGGGAGATCAGCTGGTGAAGCATATCTGTGATGACCACCAGCCTCTGGTCCAGCTGCGTCACCTGTGGGGACAGAAGCAGAACTGAGCTTAGTGCTGAGGGCCGCTTAGTTCAGGCCTCCTTAGGCCCAGGTCTGAGAGCCCGAGAGAAGGGAGTGTCACATGCCTTTGCAGATGCAAGTTGGATGCATGTGTGTATGTCTGTCATGCCCATGTGTGTGTCTGGGTGTGCCTACTGGGCCGCAGTGCTGTGCTGTAAGTCCTTGTGTTTGTACACGTATACACCTGGGGTGCTGAGTAATCTCTTGTTTCCAGACAGACCTTGTGGCTGAGAGTCACCACGCAGACTTCTCCAAGGTTCTCCAACCTCTATGTTTCTGGCCAGGCTTCCTAGGGCATCTAGCACAGCCTTTGGCCTCTTGTGGTCAGGCAGAGAGGTGTGTGTAGGGGGGGGGGTAGGTAATGGGCAGGGGCAGAGGAGGCCAAGGGTTTTGTCTGGTTGGCTTGGTGGGTGGTGGGGGGCAGAAGGGCCAAGCTTAGAGGGGCTGGCACCTGGAGGTAGGCAAGAGGCACCTGAGGGTCCAGTAGGTAGAGGCCTGGGTCCTGCTGGGTGGGCCGTGGAGGGATTCCTGCCCACAAAATTACCCCACAAGTACCAGTTCCCTAACTTAGGACACTACCACCTTACCTGATCTCCATGGGTCAGACCAGGGCCTGAGTGGCATTCTTGGCCACGTGACTGTTACCCCATGACTATAAAAGGCTTGTTTTGCTCTAAGCACTCTGTGTGTGTGTGTAGGAGGGGAAACAGAGGCAGGACAGGACCTAGGAAAAACACAGCGTAGGGAAGGCACTTTGGGGCCAGAACTGGTCAGTCACTGCCTTTTCTCCTCCAGAAGAGGAAGAGACCCTAGCAGGAAGGCCAGAGCCCCCAGAGCAGTCCCCTAGGAAGCAGGGGCTACCTCAGCAGCAGGTAGAGGGCAGCTAGAATGCAAGGGCCTGAAGGAGGTGCCCAAAGTGGGTAGCAGGGCAGAGTGGTGGCATGAGTGAGGCCTGGCTACTGAGCCCAGGCCCTGCATCATCCTGGGGGGCATCCCCTCAGTGTGCTAGGTCGGTAAGGTGTACCTGGAATACAGGGAACACCAGATAAATGGAATGAAGGGATCGGCAGATGGCCTCATATGGTCAGACCTGCAGAGCTGCTTCAGGGAAAAGCATAAAATGACTCAGCCGACCGCTGACCCCAAAGCCTGGGTGATTTGAACCCCGAGGACAAGTGGCAGGTAGGGGCCAGCTCCTGTCTTCCTGGACGAGAGTGAGGTTTATGCCCCAGGCAGGCCCCTGTGGCTCCTGGTGGCTTCAGGACTGGGTCCTCTGACCAACTGCTTGTTTGTACTCTGAAGGGCTATAGGTCACTCAGGCTTGAGGGCTCACCCAGGGGAACTGAGGCTAAGGGCTTAGGAGTAGTGGAAACTGAAGCTAGGTTACTCCTGGATGGTGGTGCCAGGTTTTATGCCCTGGTCTGAGGCTTCCCTAGGCCTGTAACCAAAAAGAGGGTTGTAGGACAGCAGCTTAGGCCGGTCTGTACAGCTTTAAATATGCAGACCGTGTTTGAGTATTGATGTGTTAGGTATCAGTCAAAGCACTCATTGGGTCACAGAACACATACGGCTTCATGCATGTTCTCTAACCTGTACGTGAACCCCTATGAACATCCCACATTTGTTAACGGGTGAGGGCTCTTAAAGAGAATTCTTGATGTAGGGCAGGTGGAGGGGAGACTGGGTGCCATGTGGCTGGAGGAGGAGCTCTATTTGGAAGCCCGGTGACAGATCCAAGGGTGTCTGTAAAGCTGCTCACAATGACCCTGTGACTGCTGCTGTGGCAGTCAAGGTTTTGAGACACCTGTTAGGCTTTCTGGTCTGAAGGTGGCCTACTAGCCAAGCTGTCAGAGGCAGGATGCTGACTAGAGGCCCAAGGGGGGTGTGTGTGTGTGTCAGCGTCTGGGGCCTCATAGTCCCTCATACAGAAGAGGACAGGACTGAGGAGGACAGGGTAGTGCATGGACCCCGTAAAGCCTCTGGTATCTGAGGGGTTGGCCTGGATCTCTATAGCCACTTGCAGGGCCCTCTTAGGAACTCTGGGTCACCTACAGGATTTTCCTGGATTTTCCAGCTGCCCACAGTTCCATTACCTGACCAGCATTAGGATGAGCAGTAATATACAGGTAGGCTGAGCCCTGTGGTCCTCCTGGTCTGGACCATATACCTGATCTATGCAATTGCCTGCATCTCAGTGGCCGGCCATGGTGCTTGTCTGCCTAGCACACCTAGGGGATCAGTTTGCACTGTGTGGCGGGGCTGCTGGGTGCCGAGACTTGGACCAGGCCACTCCTCATTGAGTGCTACTGGGTGCTTCATGCGAGAGCACCGAGCATCGGGAGCTTGCCTGCCTGGGCCGCTCTTCTTGTTTTGAGGGCAGGAGTGCTGGGTGGTTTCACCTTGCCCTCCTAGGCTCTGTCTTCTGGCCACCTGGGCTCCCAGATTAGCCCACGGAGAGACCCTTCCTGCCCAAGGCTGTGTCCAGTCCTGCTGGCCCACTACAGGGAGGGGCCTGGCCTTGCTATGGTGGCTTCTCAGCTCCAGAGCTCAGTGCCAGAGACAACACCTCAGCAATAGTCCTCAAAGCCATGGGCTCTACTTTCTCTCTTTGGGGCTCTGAGTGCGTGAGCACCATGGTAAACACTTTAACCAGTGCCGAGGGAGTGGAGGCAGGGAGCCACATGGTAAGGGGCAGGTGCCCAGAAAGGCACAATCACCCTCAGGGAAGGGAGTGCCCGCTCTGGGCTGGCATTCCCTGAGAGCCACTGGGACAGATCAATTTTGGGGATCTGGGATCTTGCCACAATTTGCAACTCGATAGTGATTAACAGGGCAGGGCAGACAAAAGCCTCCTTGTGCCCTGTCCCTGCTCACCAAGGTAATCACCACAGATGACTTCTACTGTTCAACTGGCTTTGGAAGAGAAAAAAAGCAATTGAAGAACAGCTAGTTAGAGAGCCCCGAGGCGGCTGGCGATCAAACCCAAGGCGACGGGGATTCCTGTTTGATGTGGTTATGAATTTGTTTTCCAAAGAAAATCTTGAAAAGAGTCTTTTCAGAGAAATTTTTGCAGAACTTGCTCAGCCTTGATCCCTGCTTGGGACCCCCAAGGCCCTGGGCCCGTGGGCTGCCTTAGCCAGCTTGGCCTGGGGTGGTTAGGCAAGACAGGGGACACGGAGACCTGGGTCTAGGGTGAAGGACCCTGGGATGTGTCCCGGGATCCTTGCGGGTCAATGTTCAAAAGCAGGACTGTGTTGCCCTCACCGAGGCCCAGACTGCCTCATCCTCCTCCAAGCTCCCCCTTGCCTAGCACCCCAACACCCCCATCAAATAGCCCCATAGTGCTGCCTAGGCTGAGTTGGGTCCTACTATGCACAGGAGGTGGGGGAGGGTATCTGTCTAGGTTATTATAAGAGAAGTCAGGGGATGGTGAGGAAGTGATGACAGGCCTTTATTTAGCACCTACTGTGTACCAGGCCTTGCACATCTTCCCTCCATAGTTCTGTGAATGGGTAACATTATAATTCCTCATTTCAAATACAGAGCAGAGGGGCTGCAGGAGGGGACACATAATGGGGCTGTTCCAGCCCCCCCGCCCCCCCGCGGCCTGCTCCTTCGTAACTCTTCTGCCCTCCAGAGTTTGTCTAGCAGGTGACACAGTCGAGGCCCAAGAGGCCAGGGATCCTGGGACACAGCCTAGGTGCTACCCCCTCCTGCTAAGATAGTTGCAGTAGCCCATTGGCTGACTTCCCACCCCCACTTTCTCTCCATTCTGGGCCTCTGTAGCCCCTCACATTTGGCAGCCCATGCCTGCCCAGGGCCATGTACTCACAGCTCCCATCATCCCTCTGCCATGGCCCTGCCAGCCTGCAGTCCTGGCCTCAGGGTGCCCAGTATTCTCTGTGGGTCCTTCATCTGTTTTTCTCACCGGAATTAGACCTGTCAGCAGTGGGCCTCTCCCCACACTTGCTGTGGCATCTTAAGTCCAGGAAAGGATGTAGCCAATGCTAGACCAGCAAGCACAGGTGCTCCTCGAGCCCCCAGCCTGGGGAGGGGGGCAGAGGTGGTTTTGCCTACCTGGGAGCAGTGGCTGGTGCTGCGTATGGGCCCTGCCCCTAGCCTAGCACCCATGCATGGTGAGAAGGAGGTAACGCTTATAAAGTGCCCACAGTCAGCCAGAGCTTGTGAGGCTGGTCTTGCGCGACGGTAGTACACACTAAATATGGCAACCCAAGACAATGCCCTTGCTGGGCCAGTATCCGTGTATTTATCGCCTTGTTTCAGTACACCTGCTTTTGTAGAGAAGCCTTTGATATCCCTGGCTGTCAGTTCCCAGGATGGCCTTCTGTCCTTTGGCCCCTAGGGCTTCCAGGACATGTGAGTGGGCCTGTTGTAGGCATGCATGAGGAAGCAGGCTGGGCCCACTTTGGGCGCTTTTAGGTCCTATAGAACATGGGTTTTCGCTGCCTCAACCCCAGTGACTCCCTTTTATAAAGCAGTGATGTCCACTGCAGTTACTCATTTTATAACCGTTAAGTCTCGTTTACACAGATAAACACCTGCCACCCACCAGCACACCTGGAGACACAAGCTGATCGGTCACTTGTGCCAATAAATGACAACATCATGACTGTTCCAGATCATCAGAAACACCAGGCACGTGAGCTTGTTGATGATGTCAGGTAGAACCCCATCACCTGCGACTATACAGGAGCACGCTGACTATCCGCTGGGTCACTCATGGATTTGCCCAAGAGAACTGCCATAGTAACGACTTGCGCCTCTGTCCCCTGGCTCCAGCTGCAGTCCAGTGACATTCAGCCCATTCCCAACTGACCCTGGAGATGGCCCACCACCTGCCTGTGGTTCATCTGACTTCTTATCTGATGCCTTATAGCTGCCTGCCCTTCCCTGTGTCAACTCTGCTTCTTCGCAGCCTGTCTAACCCCCACCTACACACACA